ATTTTCAACATGGCATGATTTTCATCGACTAGTTTTGATACAAAAAATCCTCACCTGAATTTAAAACTTGCTCAGTGACTGGCATAGATATAATACTTGACGCTTGTTGAAAAAGTTTTCTTGAGATATCTTTTAGATCGCAGAAACCGGCTCGAGAACGATGAGCTACCGAACCGACAGGACGAAAAACTTGTCCTCCATCACTCTGGCTTAGAAGACATATGATTGGTTGAATACTGTCACGTGAACCGTGTCCAGCACCACCTGTAAAAGTCGTTTCCAATAATTTTTCTCTGGCCTGTTGGTTTCCCCGTTGGAAAGGACTTTTCCCACTTGCAGCGCGCCAAATTTTACTGGTGGGTTTTTCCACCGGTGACGTAAATACACATTAACCAATGAACAAACAAGTACTAACTATACGTCATGACGTCGCGCGCGATCAACGACACAACTCGCAGAGCAATTCAAGTACTATAAAAATCTTTTTCATTTAGCTTTTGTTCTCGGATATACTTAAGGATATGAATGTTATAGAAGCAATGGAATATGGTCTATCCAACTTAATTTCAAGTCTAAGGACAGGGAAAAGCAGTGGAACGCTATTTCTCCAACCAATACGTGTTGGGTATTTTAGTACTGACGCGATCTGAGCTCCTGCGTGATCCGGATCGTTTGAGAAAATTAAGTTCGGACCTTTCGATGGAGAACAGAGGGCACACATGGATAATGGGGGTTCTGTGACAGGGAGGAAAAAAATCATGGATCATTCACGACGAGGAAAGCGAGCCGTGAATCATACAGAATTTTTTCCTCCATGTGCACAGAACCCCCATTATCCATGTGTGTGATTGCCGATCTTGCAAGCCGTGGGGATGTCATAGAATTATTTTTAATTGAAGAAGCAGCCTGCCTTAATATAAAGCAACCATGGCCGCGTAAACGTTTTCTTCTGATGTGATAGAGATGTTTTACGGTCCTATCTCGAGAGAAGAGAAGGAGAGGCTTCAACTACCTTTAAGGCCCAGCAGGGATTATGACTTCCATTTGGTAAGAACCAACTTCGACGAATGGCTCCGAATATGGAAAATGATCGTACCAGATGGACATAAAGACCTTCTGAAATTCGCACAAAAAACGAAAGCAAGATTCGAAGAAGTGATAGAAAAATGAAATTAGAACCTTGAAAAGCGTCAAAACGCAGTTCGCGCTTGACGTTAAGTTTTCGAGAACTAGAGATGGTCAAAAACAAGAAATGGCACATTATTTCAGACAGAGAGACCCCGCGGTTTTTAACAGAAACAATGCGGCAGCGGTAAGCGAAGTATTTCGTAGATTTATTGATGAAGTCAAAGATGAAATAGACACGCAGGGGCCAAACCACCCCCCAAATGTTTCGTCAGTTCTTGGGTATTTCACATTATTTCGCATTACTTAAAA